TTTAGTAGATTATGATTTTTTATTCTAATTCTTTAAATCAAAATGCAGTTTTCTACACTTACAAGGTAATTCTTCTAATTTTAATCATACTTTTATTAAGTTATTAAACAAAAATCCATAAATAATAACAATTTACTCTAGGAACCTAAAATCAAAATGTAGGGATCTTTTTTAAAACTTTTTCATAAGCTTGAAAGGTATGGATTATGAATGAAGGGACTAATAGCACTAATTCATGTTAAACATTCTTTAAGAACATATACCTGAAAACATGAAACTTTATATGCACTGTGTTATTTAATATGCCTAACTGTTGAATAATTTTCTTTACTTATACATAGATAGCTGACAACATACTTGAACAATACAAATGATGAAACTAATTTTCAAATAAATGAATAAATTCATTTCTGTTATAATTTTATGTGTAAGTTTAGCCACACATATACATGATGACACACAACTTTGATCACTAACTGTACATTCCATGTAAAGTTGACCTAGCTCTAGTCTTCTTTGTCAATTGAATGTGATTCACAAAAAGTTATTTGAATTGAACTCAAAACAGGAAAGAGATAAACCACTTATTTTCCTACAGACATTAAAATTTCTATGTATACGTAGTTCTACTGAATAATGAAAGTAGGAACTTCAATTCATTTGCAATCATCCATACATCCTTATAATATATACCATTCCTAGAACCACCAACTAAATATGTAACTTGAAACAATAGTTTTTCTGGTGACCCATTTAGAAACACAAATGCATGTACATGAACAAATAATATTTATATATGCTTGATCTAATAATCTAATAAAATAAAAAAATCCATAATTTTACTTTCTCTTTTATATTCAAAAATTGCATCACATACTCTAATACAAGAAAATAAAGATACAAATCAAACAAATGTACTTAGTCTTCTATTTTACAGTTATACCAATTTTTCAATCTTTTATAATACACGTCTTAAATACCTGTATTCAAGTCATAAATGGAAAACACATTCCAGAGTTAACCGGTTGTGCTTTGTTGCATGCAAGTTTTGTGTAACAATTTAACTCTCTGTATATAGCCTTGTTCATTTTGACCAATCTTGTAATCACCACGTAACCCAGAAAGTATGTGTAGTATAACTGAATTTATAAAGTATCTTCACAAAATTAGGAAACCTTTGGTAAATATTAAAAGTCTGTTGTAGATAAAAAAATTAGATTTTTTAATATATATTTTTACTAAACATTTGTCTGAACTTATGAAACCTTTGTTGAGTCAGTTTGAGTGCTATGTAATGTTTATATTAAGAATAAGAATAGTTTTTCACCTTATAGTTTCATGTTTCATTTGTATAACCTCTAAAAACTTCTAATTGAATATCAAGTTTTTTTCTCAGTAAAGCTATATTTTATCTGTTATTTTCTCTATCCTAACAACCCAGTATAATAAGTAATATTACAAATGTGCAAAGTAGATATTTCTTTACCTCGTAGTAAACTAAGCATCTAATGATATATACTACCAGATCTATGAAAATAGTGCAGACTGATGCATCAAAATATACACTGGGCTTCTGAAGTTTCAGATTGTTCTTCAGTCATGAAAACTAATTAAAAAATAATTACATAACTATGTGTATGTTCCTTGCCCCAAGTACGGGTGAAAACAGAAAAATTGTGACTCAAAGATAAAAACATTAAAGTTTTGAATAATGGTTAAAAATAAGTTTTGAAAAATAACTTACTGACACTAGCAAACTCATGAAAAAACTGAGTTATGATAAAAGTGAGTACAAGTATATACACATAACTAATTTGAGCAGAGAATACCTAAGTTTTTAATATCTTTTTTTACTTTATTTTGAAAAAGTAGGAATAGACCACACAGAAATTGTACAAAACTGCATGTACTCATAAATTTTAAGTAACTCATGATTTACTGCATTTTTGTTTAATAAAATTAAAAAATATCTAATATCTTTTCTAGAAAAATTAGTGTGAAGTTATGGTATAACTAAAGGATAAATTAACAAATAGTTTAAAATCACTGAAATTGATTTTTCTTTTTAATAATTACAAAGAGAGATACAGATCAAAAAGAAAAAGAAACAGTTCACTTATAAACACAGTAATATATTACTGTTGATGATGAGGAACCCACTTTGAGACTAATAATGATGATGACAAAACCTTGTAGAAATGTTGTATACTTGCTGTTATGTTAAACTTATATTAAAGTTTTTCTTCATTACCCATCCAAGCCGTCTCCAAGCATTATTAGTATATTACTGTAATTTTTTTCTGAAACCATTACAGTTGACAAAGTTATAGTAGAACAATACAGTATATAAATGTAATAAGTTCCCACAAACATGTATTAGCAAATTAAAGTCAACCATGACTTTACAAATACTTGAGAAATATCAAAAACCTGTAATGAAAGTTGCTAAGTATAATAGTTCCTAATTTGACTATTAAAAAGAACAAATACAAGAATAATAAGTGCACTTTCAAAGCCAAAGAAACATTACTTTGAAATAGTTAAGTAGTAACAGCAACAAAAAATCCACCATTTAAAAAAAAGTACCTTCCTGATAAATTTCCCTGATTTAAAAAGTTTCATATATTTTCTCCATGATGTACAGATACATCTGCAATGTATCGATGAAAGTTAGAAAAAAAACATCACTAGAAAAGTTGACAACATAAAAAAAACACCTACACACACAATGTTAAAGAATTCACATGAATATGGAATAGTTATGAAGTTAATTCATTTCTCCCTTATCCCACGTCTAAGTTTTCCACTTTAAGACAGTGAATGTTAAAGAGATTAACTCCTACTACATTTGTCTCACATAAAAATTAATTCAACAGGAAATATTACAACAATCATATAGTCATTCATTTGTTACTGGATACCATCAGACAACACCAACCATACGTACTAACATACAGTTACTTGTAACTCCTCTATCATGACACATATTTATAATACTTTTTTCTTCTGCACAAGTTTTTTTAATAACTACTTCTACAGTATATGATGGTAGGTTACTAAAAGAGCTGTAATTAACAGGTCATGCAAGGTTGTGTCCACTGCCAGCTTTGTATGTTTCTTACTGTGTTGCCAAGTAGTTCTATGTTTGTTAACATCAGGCATTGTTTTATTGTGTGGGTGTGTTTCATTCAAGCTCCATAGCTTTCACAATTTCTCATGTGAAATTGTACTGAAACTATACATGTACTTTGGGTAAACCCACCTTGAACACCTTATAAAGTTTTTATGTAATATGTGTTATTACTACTATTCAATCAAACACATAAAAAAAGACTTCTGATGTGAATAAACTCGTTATTTGTTTTCTTAAATTATGCTTCCACTGCATTATTTGATCAAACCACAAGGAGAGAATACGTGTCCGTACTGGAGAAAACATAAAGTTAAGATGTTCAACACAAAAGGTTATTAAATATGCCAACAATATTGGACCAGTTTTACTTTCATAGTTAAAGACTTCATTCAACTTAGACCCTGCACTTTCTTCTTCCTATATAAATAGAAGACTGTCAAAAGTTTCAAAGAAAGGTATAGATGACATTGAAATACGTAATTTTGCTCAGGCAGCATTAAGAAATAAGAGATACTGCTCCACAACCTAAGAAATTTGCCACAACTACAAATGCTAAACTAACATTAAGAAATCTTGATATTCTAAAAGATCTGAAAAAGGCTACAAATACCTTCCGATATCATAAAGAGTGTAATAAAAGACAAAAAAAAATCACACATTTTCATGAGACTGAATACAATGTGTCTTCTCTTATGTAGTGTTGTTTTTATGATTGCAAAATTTCTTATGGTCACTACGATATCTTTATACATATAATACAAATAATATATATATATAAACAGAGATGAGAATATTTGTAATTTTAAGTTTCCATTTGAAAACCTTTTATAATTCTAATCATAGGAATAGTTTCAAATTAGTAGCTACCAGCTCGACACACAATACTCAAAAACAAGTTTTATTAATAAACCAACAACTTCAATGGTGCAAATTGGTTTAAGAGCTTAATGTGTTGAATATTTGTAGCCTTATTCAAAATTGTTTCAACATGATTCAAGTAACATGAAAAGAATTCAAAGAATTTAAGTACATTACTACTTTCATCTACAGTTGAGAGGCACTTAAGTTCAAGTAGAAATATAAAAAAAATTCAAGAACTTCCATCACCAGGAAACGAACTTAATTTCTCTGACGTCGTAAACTAGAACATACACGTATGATGATAGCTCACAGTCTCTTGCACTAAAACAATTGCATACTTTATAAACCAACAATCATAAAATTATTCACCCAAGTGGTTACATACATGCAGTTTTTTTTACATTATTATTAGAATGTTCTTATTATATATATATTTTGAAAACACATCTTTCTTACTATTCAATAATTTAGTGTTTAGTACCAAACTTTCAATTGCTGGTATATTTTCATGCACTTATTAAGGAAGAGAGAATATTCATAACTTATAATTCTAGTTATGTCACAGCTAAACAAATACTGATCAAGCCCAAACTTAAATATTAATATGAAATGTGTTTCTTTGTAGCAATAAAGGTAATAAAGCCACTTGGGAGGTGACAAAATCTCCACTTAAAAAAAAAAAGACTTAATTTTATCATTTTACCAAAAGTATGTTAATTTAATGTATTTGATGTATAGTCATAAACAAATATTAATCTATTTATTTCCATTTTTATATTGATTGTTAATTACTCACTTCTTGCATTAATTACTTTACAGGTAAATTTCAGGTGTAATTATTTTGTTGGAGTGTTCATATTAAATTCTGATGTTTAAATACATATAGTTTCATGCATAAATTTCTTTACTTTGTCTTAACACAATTTACTACAAGCAAAATTAAGAAAATTTCTTTTGATTTAATACAATACACAACCTGAAAGCTTCTACATAAACAGATACTCACCATTTTTGCTGATGTCAAACTCTACTAAATTGATGAGGTTAGCTATGTCAGGTGGAATGCGGTAAATTTCATTGTCACTAAGGCTTAACTTGCGTAACTTAACTAACCGAAAAAGGCCCTGTAATGAAAAAAACTTAACATTTTAATAACAAGTCAAAGTTTGAAATAATTTTTATATCACTGGTAATTTTTTACAACTTAAAATGTTAATATGATAACTATTAACAGATAATACGCAGATTCAGTGGGTTAGTTTAAGTTTTAAAGTCACACACACATGCTTATATTTATTCAAAAATTAGTTAGTATTTGATGAAAAATATTTATATTACTGTAAAATAAAAGTAATGTGGTATGGCAGGAAACATATCACACAAATTAAAAATATTATTAACTTTTTAAATACAAATGCACAATATTTTACTTGCATAAATAACTATTTCATTTCTGTCTATTTCCTGTAAGCACTTTACCCATCTTATGCCAGCCCTTTATAATTAATGATAAAAAATTATGTTAAAAAACATACTAATGTTTAGACTTAAAAAGCATAAAATCATTAGCCCTAATGTTAAAAAATAAATAAATAAAGGCTTGAT